GCAACCCCTGCCACTTTGGGCACGCCGACAATGTCCTCCATGCCGCCTCTTGTTGAAAGACCTCGTGCTCCAAAGAGAGAAAAAGTGCCAGTGCTGCCTGCATTACGTCTTCGTCTGTGTTGCCACTCGCTCTGCGTGACTTTGCTTGCGCCACGTACCCGCTGAACTTTTGTGCAGATCTGCTGACAATGGACCAACGATTCTTCAGCGCTTGGATGGTTCTATCGTCTTGGCCCAAGGCTGACGACCAGTGCTCGTGAATGGTGCTCCAGAACTTGTCCTTGGACTAGTCGGTACCCTTGATGGGATCTTCAGACGTACAGACCCATGAGCGAGCAAGTTGGGCGTCCTCATGCTGCGACCACTTCGATCCCTTTCCCATGGGTTCCAATTAGAAATGGCTGGACGGGGTTTCTATTTTTCTCCTGAATAGAAACTCTGAGGAATAAAATAGCAATAAAAACTACCGTTGGAGAGAGTTTTTTTGTAAATATAGAAATGGAAACTACCGTTGGAGATGCTCTCATTATACACGATATATAGCCGGTATAGTCTATACTAGTATAGCCTATATAATATAGTGACGTCATTTCGACTATTCAAGCCCGTTGCGTTGCTACATGGAGCCGAGACGATGTGTTCGACACAGAACATTTCGAACACTTCATTACTTCTTAGCTTTTTTAGCGGCCGGTCCTTCCTTCGAGGATGGACGTGTGCTCCGGCGGTTTGCTGGAATGTCCGCTGGCTCAACAATAGATTCTGTGGACGGTTCCATCAGAGTAGAAATTAGAGTTTCCAGCACTGGAATGTCCTCGCCAAGGCGATGGGCTACACGAAGAAGAATAAGAAACGAGGCCTGTGCAACACAGTTGTGTTCCACAAGCACTTGGAGTCGGCCAATGTCCTCACCAAGTGGGACATCGGAAGGACGAGGAGGTTCTGGGGTCATAACGGGAGCAAGCAGCGGCGCGTCAATTTTCAGGCCATAAAGGGTACGGCCATGGCGCGGCCATTCCAAGCCATGTACCGTTTGTACATGGGCCTTGAATCCGTCGTTCGAGTGGCGGAACGTCTTGTCACAAAGACATCGTCCGTGATGTTACA